GAAGAAGAAGAAGAAGAAGAAGAAGAAGAAGAAGAAGAAGAAGAAGATGAAGAAGAAGAAGGAGGAGGAGGAGGAGGAGGAGGAGGAGGAGGAGAAGGAGAAGGAGAAGGAGAAGGAGAAGGAGAAGAAGGAGGAGAGAGAGAAAGAGAGAGAGAGAGAGACAAAAACAGCGACAGAGAGAGGGAGGGGAGAGGGAGAGGGGGAGACAGACAAACAGAGAGAGAAAGAGAAAGGGAGATGGAGACAGAAAGAGAAAGAGAAGGGGGAAAGAGGGAGAAACGGGAGAGAAGAAGAGAGCAAGACAGAGAGAGAGACAAAAACAGACACAGAGAGAGGGAGGGAGGGAGAGAGGGAGACAGAGACAGAAAGATTGAGAAAGAGAAGGGGGGAGACAGGGAGAAACAGAGGGGAGAGGGAAAGAGGGAGACAGAGAGAACATTTCACAAGGCTCCTAGTTTGAACCCGGTGAGAGGCTCACCGTGCCTAGCCCTGAAAGCCCCTTCCCCCTCTGGTCCCATGTGCTTTGGGGCAGGTGCAGGGGGCCCTTGAGGCGTATGACCCCACAGCCCCCAGAGGGGCCAGACACTGACACCCATCTTGCCTCTGAAACTGCTAGTTATAGTCGGTCACAAAAGCATTTTCCAAAAGCATTTCACTTCCGGCTAAGTCCCCAAAGTTTGGCCAGTAGCTCTGAAAAGGTTTCTCCATCCAGGGATCCAAAGGTAGCCCTTTGTCCCCCAGCCTGTGCTGACTCGGAAACCCACTACCATGCCAGCCCTCACTCGGGGAAGGAGACTCTGCCACGTGGCTTCCAAGAAAGGGAATGGTCCTAGATATAAATTTGAGGACACAGGAAACCAGAGCAGGTGATAAGGCAACAGAGCATTGGATTTGGAGTGCAAGGACCTGGGTTCAGATCCTGACTTTGCTATGCAACCTCATCCACGTCACTTTGCTTCTCTGGCCCTCAGTTTCCCCATCTGTAAAATGAGGTAATAGCTAAGGTCCCTTTCAGTTCTAGATCTATGGTCCTCAGTGATGGCAGAACTGAGGGAGTGGAGGCAGGAGGCTAAGGGGTGATGTCCATAATCCTAGGGAAGACAGTAGGAGCCTGGAGAGGGGGAGCACCAGGAGTATGGTTTCCTGAGCACGGTAAGCACACTAATAAGGGAATGTCGGATGTGGACTGAAGCCCGGCCTCATGGCAGATAAGGAAGGAAGGAGCCACGAGGCCAGATTCCTCCCCTCGGACCATTTTCTTGTTCCTTCCTTCCTATTCAGGAGAAGCCTATAATTTCCCAGTGAGGCACAGAAGCCAAGGGCCTCCCCTGAGACATCCCATCCCAGAATGCAGCAGCCCACCTTCTAGAAGGGCCACCAAGGATTCTGAGGGGGAGGGAGCAAAGGAGGAATGGAGCCCGTCCCAGCCATGGGAATGCTGGGGGTGGCTGAGGGCCAAGCCTTCAGGGCACAGCCAGAAAGCTGCCTGGTTCTCATTTGAGGTGATGGTCTGTACATTTTTTTGTGAAAACCAGCAAAAGAATCTGTTTGAGTCAAGCCCACAAAACATTCCATGTTCTCATCAAGGCGAGGCGAGGCGAGGCAGGCGACATTGCTGTCTGCTGCCTGGAAATGTCTTTGCAGGACTTGCGCCGGCCTCCAAACACGCAGCCCATTTGGGGAGCCCCGAGAGAGAGTTGGGGGAGACCTGCTCAGCTTCTCTCATTCCGGGCCCCTTGTCTTAGCTGGCTCAGGAGGCAGCCCCCACCACCCCGATATCCCGGGACACTCCCTGTACATCTGTTGGTCAGCAAGACATTAGTCACTCGCCACGAGCCTGAGGAGGCTGCTCTTTGGACCTCAGCTTCCTTTTCTGTCAAGCTGAGATGATAACCCCCTCTCTACCTGGAAGGAAGGAACAGGGAAAGGGTAAGCGTGAACCTGGCAAAGGTTCTGAGCTTCCTAGAGAAAGAAACTCGGTTGTTTAAGAACCGGGTGATATCCTGAGAGCTAACGCGGCAAGGATTTGAGTTCAGGTATCCACCTGTCCCCCAGGCTTAGCTGACCAGTCTTCCTCCGGCCCACTGCCCTCTGGCCTCCCCCACTGTGCATCCTGGGATCCTCCCTCTCTCAGGGGCCCCAGCACTTCAGGGCTCACAAAGATGGCGGCGATTCCCATAAATGTGCGCCAAGGAGGCTCAGAGCAGCCAGAGCCCTTCCCTTCCCCAGCCCTTCAGCCTCGAGCCAGCAAATGCTCTTCCCCAACACCCTATACTTAGGACCGGGTCAGCCCAGCAAGGGCCGGGGCACACCCCTGGGTGCACACTCATTGGACAGGACCCAACAGGACCAGAAAGGACAGCACAAGACGGAGCAAGGAGAGGTGAGACGTACCATGTGGGAAGGAGTCAGGCCCAGCGAGAATGGACCATGAGTTCTTCCTCCTTGTGACCAGGGAGCTAGGAACTGCATGTTCGTCAGCGAGTCAATGTTTACCATCCCCTGTGCCAGCCCCCATCCCTGAGCCAAGAGCCAGTGGGTCAATGATTCTAGTCCTAAACCTCAGGCGCCACCCTGCGCCCTCCTGATGCTCCCAACACATCCCTGGATCCATGCGTGAGAGGAGGGACACGAGCCAATGAGGCTGCAGCCCCTCCTGCCTGGCCTCGAGGTGAACACCCCAGCACTCACAGGAATTAGGGCCCTGGACTCCTTTCACACGATGCTCCTCAGAAGGGACCTCAGAGGAGCCAACAGGAAAAATCACCTTCTCCTGTTCACCCCCAGAGGGGCAGCCGCTCCCGGGAGATGGGCTGGAGAGGAGCGGGCTCCGGGCCTCCCAGGCCCTGACTGGACCCCAGTCTTGACTCCCTCTTCGCTCCTGACTCTCTGATGACTCTTTTGGGAAAGTTCTGAAAGCCAGGTTCTGCCCAAGCCACCCAGCAAGCTGCTCAGCAGATCTCCTGCCCCCTGTCTATATACTGAGGCCAGAGAGAGGCTTGCCCCAGGTCACCCTGGGAAGCCAAGAGGGCCTCTTCTGACTCCAGTGACCTTGTCACGGAGAAACCAACTGGGAGATGTGGAGAAAATGAAGGATAGAAAGATGATTGCCCCTCCCATTTATTCCCCTTGCCCTCTTTCCAGGTCACTGTCTGGGAGCCTCACTCCCCTGGATAGCTCCGAGTTCAGTTGAGCAGGGGAAGGGAAGGAGGAAGCCAGGAGGGGACAGCTCCAGATTCCCCAGATGCCCTAAAGGAGCGTGGCTGTCGGGCCAGCCCAGGACAGCGTTGGCCAACATCCCAACAACAGGTTTCAGAACATCACAGGACCCAGACTGCAAAGGCACCCTGAAAGGTCAGCTGATCCACCCCACTCCTGGTGGAGAGGAGGGCCTTGCCACCCGGAGAAGGAAGTGACCAGTGGGACCCGGACCAAGGATTCCAGCCCAGTCCTCCAGCTCCAAACCTTCCAGCCTAGGGCATGAATCCACCATGTTCTCTCCTCTGGTATCTGGAGTGAGCCCTTTCAGCCCCAGGCTTTGGGAAAGACACAGCCACTTTGCACAAGTCTCCTGTGGGATTGAAGTGGGCAGAGGCCAGGTACCTCTCCTCATGTGTGACCTCTCCAATGTACCCTCTGGAGAGCTTAGCGTGGTGCCTGGCATGTAGTAGGCATTTAATGAATGCTCATTGACTGAGGGTGGTTGTGTCAGAGGCTCTCAGGCAGGCCTAGGAATGGCTGGAGGGATTTTTCACTGCTCTGGTTTGTTGCCCCCTCCCAGATAATCCATCCTCCCTTCTGTCCCCAATGCACCAGTCACCAATCCCCTGCATGCCCTTGGTTCAAAGGGACCAAAGAATAAATAGGCTTGAGTACACATAGGTCAGTGAAAAACAAACAAAGCTCTTATCAGAGCAGTCCCCCCAGGGACACCCCTCCCCCAGCAGCCTGGAAATCCTCCCCATCATTTACCGGCATCCCCTGAGTGGAATGGCCAAGTGCCTGGGCCGGATGGCCTGCAGGGCCACCTCTTACTCCATGGCTCTGGCTGCTGGGGCCACGCTTGAGCCACCGGTGCCGCAGCTGGGAACAGACACTTCAGAAAGGTGAATTGAATGGGCTGCACTGGGGAGGGTCCAGAGCGGGCCACTGGGCTGGGGAAAGGCCCCGGGAGGATCAGCTGAAGAAGGGGTGGCTATCTGCAGGGCTGCCTGTCCCATGCAGCCCTGAGCCTGGTCTTCTTGGCCCACAACCATAACCAGAAGGGAAGCCAAAGAAAGGCTGGCAGAGGGGCAGCTAGGTGGCACAGTGGATAGAGCACCAGCCCGAGAGTCAGCAGGACCTGAGTTCAAATCTGACCTCAGACCAAACACTTGACACTTACTAGCTGACCCTGGGCAAGTCACTTAACCCCAACTGCCTAAAAAACAAACAAACAAACAAACAAACAAACAAACAAAAACCAGAAAGGCTGGTGGAGCCTTTGGTTAAGCACACATGCCCAACCCTTCGAGCTGGCTCGGGGGGACAGGGCTGCCCTGGGAGGTGACTGGCCTTCCTTTCCCAGCAGATCTCCAAGTAGAGATTGGAGGACTACTCTGGGGCCTGTGGCAGAGGGGAAGGGACTAATGACCAGGTACAACTTGGGCTAACTGGTGACTGTGGTCCCCTTCAGCTCTGAGATGCTGAGGTTCCATTGGCTGTCACCATTGGGAAATGGCCCAGTGTAAGAGTAGGGGAAAGAGAGTGGAGTTGGGGGCCCTGGTCTCATCCTGCTGGGTATCCTTACTCCTTGTGTAACTCTGGGTGGCTCCCTGAGTCTCAGTTTCCACATTTGTAAAATGGGGGTGTACTTGTTTGTCCTTCACATCCCAAAGTGCCGTCTTGACTTGCTTTGGACTGAAGTGAGGCACAGCTGCCCAAAGGAGGCAGCCCCACTCTCCCTTCCAGAGTCCAGTGGCAACAGAAAAGTCAAGAGGAATGACCATGGCCCCGGATGGCCTCAGCGTCCTCCGTGTCTGACCAAGGTCTGAGCGCTCCCCAGCGCCTGCTTCAGCCGCCTTCACGGCTGTTGGAACAAATTGTTCTCATCCGCCCATTCCATCAGAGGAAGTCTTTGCATGTTTGGGGGAGACACCCCCTAACTCACCAATGGGTTTGAGACCTGTCTCTTCCCCTCAGCCTGGTTTATCTCCTCTGCCGAGATGGTTTTCTGGGCTGTGGCCGCTGCTCGTGCTCCAGCTTCTTGGAGCCGTAAGAGAGCTGGGTGGCAGGTAGACACCAAAGGTGGATGGGCAGCCCTCACCCCAGAGGTGCTCGTCCTCCTGAACCCCCACAGACCCCCGAAATGGGGGCGATGCTCCATGCGCTGTCTTCCTCACGAGGAGGGAAGGTCCTGGCAGTGCCCCAGCAAAGGGGGCCGTTTCTAGGGGCAGAGCCCAGCAAAGGGGGC